CTTTACACAAATCACTGTATCATGTGTTTTTCTATGAATACGATCTTACTCGATCACTGCATACAGACTTTATTAGCAATATTTATTTTTATATTATATATGAAACAAAATTTGAAGTCTAATCACAATAAAATTTGACAACATTTAAATTTTTTTTATAAATCTTTTTTTTGCAACGACACACATGTGTCTAATAATGAATTTTTTACTAAACAAGTTTCACACTAAGAGTAAAAAGTTCATGATAGAACCGAATATATGCGTTTATTAGTTTAGCAGAAACCTCGCTGTCTTATATTAGGAGTTTATCCCATAATAGGCGACCTTACCTTAATAATGCAAAGTTCTGATTGAATTCACTATAAGACATTAACGTAAGCATGTTTTTATTTAATCCATCCATAAAATTTTATAGATTATTTATTTAAATATGACTGATGTAAATGTGCTTCAAAGAAACTTTTATGATCTTGTGACAGTTTTTCCAGCATTTCTGTTGAGAATACAATTCCAAACACAAGGCAGTCGATGTTGTACATGATAGTCCCCAAGGATTGTTAAAAAGTCACACAGCAATTTGAGTCTAAACAGGAAACATTAAAAATAATTTATTACACAAGTATATCCATATCTTACATTCGTTTTTGTTAAAAAAACAAAATTATTTTTAGTATTTTATCTCGAACAATTAACAGAAATATATTCTATTGTATTATATTTTTATGATAAAATTAGTTTTAGTCAGTAACAATTATCATGTGTTCGAGATATACATAATATTTTACTAGGACAACGTACATTTTTGTATCATTGACATCATACGTAGATAAAATATTTTTGTTCTTGTCCAAACAAAAATTAAAATAATTTTTTTGCCTTATATATATATTTAAATGCTAAAAATATACACACAATTTCTGTGTCTTTTAAGATATGACTAGAGCATTTATGTAATAAATTATACGTAAGACTTTTATGACATCAATAATACATAAAATTGAAATTATCAAAGTATCACACAAAACATGGAGGAAACATATTGTACAAAACAGAAACAAATACACGTGCATTATTATGTTCAGGTTTATAAATAAAAGTTAATCACAAGGATATTAATTTAAATTTTAGGAAAACATTTACAAGAAAAAATTTTGTAATACGTATTAAATTCCTTTTTTTATTGAAAAGTTTCAACAAAACTCAAAACATATATGAACATAATAAAAAAATGACAAAAATGTCTTAAATGACAAAAATGTAATTTGTAAATAATTATTTTTGCATATGTAAAGCATACTGAGATTAAAAAATCTCATAACTACAAGCAGTGTTAAATTTAAATCGAAATACATAAAAGTGTTATAATAACTAATATAATCCTTTATATATATATATATATATATATATATATATATATACACATATATATATATGTATATATACACCGAAGATTATAATATACAATTTTGACATCAAATTTCTAGATCTTGTATACAAATTTTAACAAGTAATGTTTCATTAGTAAATAAAAATATAATTACATCTGCAAATCTTTGATTATATCTATAAAATAGAATTCTTTGGACTAAAGGAACTTAATCTTTAAATTCTGAAATTGATATAAAGTGTATGCAGTATATATCTCATTTTTAAATAGAATGCAGTAACAAATAAATGATTTATTAAGTAAATTTGAATTTCGCCGTAATAACGTATTTTTGATTCGTTTTCTGAATCCAATCCACTGATTATTAAAAATGGGGAAAATATTTAATTTAAAAATAGCATTATTTCTGATTATTATTAATACTTCGGTATATACGTATATGTATAAAGGAAGAAAAATGCGTCAAAATTTTCTCGTATACGACTACAATTTGTTTAAATGTCAGTTATTATATCGAAGATTTAATATTTAAATAATAATTACTTATGTCATCGAGATAGTTCTCTATTATGAGAACTATAACTTTATGTACACATATAACTGCTTAAACACTTTTAACTGTATTTTATATCAATACGACATTAAATAATATTGTACCAGGGATATAATCGGTTATTATTAATGTCGTAGATATATATAATGAACCACTGTGCTAAGCAAAAGAACTAAATTTGATCTTGGAAATAACTCATAAAGAATTTGTATTGGTATACCTTCAGTAAATAAATGGACAATGTGAATTCTAGCTAATAAAATATTGTAGAAACTCAGAAAATATTTGTTATAACGCTCGAACATTCGGTCTAATTTATTTGTAAAACTTTACGAAAAAAAGTTCAATTTATTATATATTTGTCTTGACTCTGATTTGATAAATTTTGCAATTTTGGCAGTTCGATTCTATTATTTGTTCACTCAAAGTTAGCTCGTGACATGTGAAAGCAATTAACAGTTTAATATTTTGTAAAAGTTTTCCAGCAAAATATTATTTTAATTCTTTTTTACGTATTTGCTAGCATATGCAGCTGTCTATTAGATTATTCTATGCCTGCAAATTAAAAAAAGAATTAATGCATTGCATGCCATGAACTCTTCTTATCATTGTATATCTATTTTTGCATACGATATTGATTGCAAATCAATATATAGAATTTGCATTCAATATCAATAATATTATGTTGCACGTGACGTATAAAACAATTATTTATATTAGCGTCTAATCTAATCCAATCTGTCTAATTATAGACCAATTTTCCGTCAGGAAGATCAGATTCATCGGCACGTTTAAAGCAGTTATATGTTTGATATACACCGTCTTTATAAAAGTTTTTGAGCGTTTCTTAACAAACAGAATATTCATCCACATTCCTGATCGTGTGTATCCTGATGTATTGCATGATTTTAAAATATGACGCAATGTACTAAACGCATTGTAATTTTGATAAAGATAGAATCTGATCGCTACTTGAGTTTATTCGATCTATATAAATTTAAAATTGCACATTAGCTGTCCATTAGCTACCAAAGAATTGTATAAGTACAATACTTTAAAATTTATCACAAAATATACATGCATTTGATTATAATCTATACACTCTCACATATAGATACATATTTACATATAGATATTTATTAGACTCAATTCTTTAAATTTTATTGCTTTGTATAATAATTTTTATAAAGAAGCATTAATCTCTTGATGATAATATATAATTATTGTAATAATATTTTTATGCCAAGTCTAAACAGTCTAAAAGGCAAAAATAATAAAATAGTTGATACATAAGAAAAGTATTATATAAGAGAGAATAGCTACGTACTTGAATAAAATACTGAATAATATAAAATATTGTACTTAAACTATATATTTATTTTGCTATTAAATCTTTACATGCAGAGTAATTCGCATAATATCGATAAGTTCAACAGAAAAGAATAAAAGTAATTATTTAAATAAATTGCACTACATAGATGTATGTATCTTATCCTGAATCGTTGAATTATCAAAAGAAATATAAAAATATAATATTAGAAGTCCAAAAATTTCTTCTGTTTTTCTATTCAGAAAAAAGTCGAAGCATTTTAAAATAATTTACATATTTGCTCTTTATTTTAATAATCGATATTATTGCGAAAAAAGAAAAAGAGATTAGCAATTAGAAAATAATAATAATGTAGAAAGACGAAGAATAGTAAAAAAAAAGTAATGTAATATGTTTGAAATCAAGAGAAATAAACTCATTTCTGTCTAATAATATACTATAGTTTTGTGACTACACTTTTTTTTTTATTACTTGAACGTACAATTACGCATGTTGCGTAAGATACGAAAAGAAATTTTGTGCAAAAAATTTGCATTATATAATATTATGTCCGTATCAGACTATGCTCGTATCAAACTAGATATTGGTATTGAGACTGAGATCGAAATTAACAAATTAGAAGAAAGAAAACTAATATTAAGTTTAGTAAACTTTACTTTGATTAGTCAAATTCAGTCTCAATTTTAATTTCAATCTGTAGTCTGATATGGGTATTAGGAAAGTTACATAATTTCAGAGAAAGCTGATAGAGCTCTACATAATCATTAAAATCAAATTTTAATGAAAACTAATCAATTAACTTTATATGAGTACATCAATTTTTAATGTTTTAAAAATTGTATTAATACAAATTTTTGTGCAAAATTTCTATTAGAAAAATATTATTAAAGAAAAAGAAAACCAGTCCCTTTTTACATCTTTTTCTATTGTTATTATCAGGCTTGAAACCAATCTCATAATTTCTATAAATATTCTATGAGACTTTTTCAAATAAAAATCTATATCCATTATCACAAAAATAGCAATTAAATTTCCAGTAATTATACTGGTTTCAATACCTGTCCGTTCCCAGTGCCAACTCAAAGATCGCCAGTCCAGATAACAACAATTCAAAGATCGCCAGTTCAGATATCAACTCCAGTCAAAGTCATTCTCTAGTCATAGTTAATACGTTAAATAATTTGTTTAATAAAATGAAACAATGAGAACGGAATAAATCCAAACATTAACGGTCAATTGTCGCTTGAAGATAATCCGTTTAACGTGTCCGTTTATGTCGCCTTTTGTTCCAAAATATCGCAACACGTTCAAATAGATGATAATGAACAGAAGAAGATTTCCCGTTTATTACAAAATACCTATAGATATTTACTCAATGATATGGAACATGTCAAACACGTAGCTAACACGACTGATGTCAATAATCATTTTTCTGCTAAGATCTTTCTGCTAAGATAATCCCTCAACATCGATGTTGATCTTCGATTCTCAGCCGGCAACAGATGAAAATATGAGTTTAGATCAATCCACACTTTTGATTAATGACGCCAAAATTAGAGGGCGATATTACATTTACAAAATATTTTTTTAAATATTTTTTAAATAGTTTTAAATAGGAACTAATTTACCGATATGATTTTTACATGTCTCTAATTAATACATTTACATTTCTGACTAGATTAGTTTACTTTTCTTAGGCAATCTATATGGCATGCCATCTTTTTTAGTATTTACTCGTGTTTTGTTTGAATGAGGTGTAAAAAGAATGTAATTTGATCTGCGCACTTCTGATCGCACACTGCACATGTGAAAGGGCTTTTAACTTTGTGAAAACTCATATGTACTGCGTACATGATCTCATTCGCAAAAATAATGCAACAATGATAACAAATAAATGATGTTTTATATATATTTATATTTTGTGTCGTATTTGTTTCCTGGAGATCAGATTGACTTGCCGTTAGAAGTGTTGAAAGAGATGATTCCGTTTGATCTTTATTTTGGATTTGTGTGACGTTGTCGTCTATGTGAAATTTTTTCTCACTTATTGTTATTGTGGGATATTCTAGTTTTACCGCTTTACGCTTACGTTTTGAAAAGTGACTGATGCTGGCCAATTGTGACTGATTTTGTCTTTTTGTCATTGTGGACATACTAAGGTCCAATGGCTGATCCGTAACTGAATTCGGCGAGTCTGAGGTTGTAGAGTTGTAAGTTGATGACTTCGGAATTGATAAAACCGAAGCTGACGGAGTTGAAATCGATGAAATCGGGGAAGTTATTCTTAAATTTGTTGGTATATCCTCGATGGTTTCTGTCAATTCTTTTTTTCCTTCTACAAACGCCTTTCGTCTGGGTCCGCGTTTATTACCGTAAACATCGATAGTGGCGAATGGATTCGGCGTACCGTCTGGATTCAATACCAAGCCTGGTTGATGCTTACTATCTTTTAGGTGTTTTTTCATTGCATTGCAGAATTTAGTCTTGTATGAGCAGTTGCCGCAATTGTACTGATAGACTTCCGAGTGCGTTTTCATGTGACTAGTTAGCATTGATTTACTCACACATGCATATGAACATTCTGAGCATATGTATGCTTTAAAATCATCATGAGCACTAAACCAATGGAATGTCATATGATGCTTGAGCGTGGTGGCGAATGGGCACGAGTTGCAGACGAAGCCGGAACATTCTTCCTGTGTGAAATGCTGACGTAAATGCAACCAAAGCGCCAATTTCGTCTTTGCTACAAAGTCACATTTGCTGCATGGTTTTGGCTTAGAAATTTTATTTTTCTTCTTTCCTTTGACTAATTCATTCTTCCCTTTGACTAATTCATTACCGGAATCCTCGAAGTCTTCAATGTCATCATCAACGTATCCGTTTAAATCGTCATTTTCCACATATGAATTTTTCGTGAACATGGAATGAGTGATTATATGCTCGATATACTGCATTCTGAAAATATTACATTTAAACAATAATAGTCTATTTTATTGAGGTTGATAGCGAATGCAATTAGAGAGGTCATTACATTTAATTTTAACCAGAACAACAGATATTTTTCAATTTCATAAAATAGATTTTTAAAAACGCACGTGAGTGCCAAAGTATTGTCATACTCATGGAATATTGAATATTCTAATTTATATTTGTACAAATAACATGGAAGATATACATTTTGTATACATCTTCCATTTATTTTTCCAATATTATTTATTTATTTACTCTCTAAAATTTTCTCTTTTTTCAACCGACTAATCTTCTAATGCGATTTACATATAGCTGTATGTAGTTCACAACTATAGAAACAAATTATAAACAAATTAATATTAGACACTTAACATTAGACTATTAACATTACACCCAACTATACCTGGAATTCGCAACGTAGGAACATAATCTACACTTTCTAGGTAACTGTGCATCACTGAATGACTGATTATTGTTCGTGGTACTCTCGGTTAGACTAGATATAGATGATAAGCTATTATTCCTCGAAGACGATAGAGTACCCGTTCTCATATCGGACGTGCTTGGAATCGAATGGGCGAACGAGAAATTGGAATTGTTATTATTGGAATTGTTATTAGTTTCATCCGCCAGTTGTACACCCTTTAGAAAAAATAAAAATAATTCTTAGAAAGTCTTGTTTACAAAAAATAAATATATTAAAAATTTAGAACTGAATGATTTAATTACCTACATAATATATAAAGAACTTCATATTTTGAGAAATTCTTCTAAATCATTAAGAGACAATGAATGAAAACTTGATCTTATATTCTAAATGTAATTTGCAGATCAACATTTAAAATTTTCTTGTATCTATTTCATTAACGACATATATTCGGCGTGATAAAAAATAAGAAACGTAATAGGTGCAAGCAAAAAAAAATATTTCACGTTTGAACTTCGAAGATTCGATTGATACAACATCGATATACGACTTCCATCGCCGACATTTTGTCGAATATAAAAGGGGACGGGTCCAGAGAGAATGAATAAAGTACATGATGCGTATTGAGAGGAAAGGAAGAAAGAAGTAGGGAGATGAAGCTCAATTGGAGAGGGGTTGGACACGATTACTCACCATTCTATCACCCCAAGCAGACGTGGTGGGCTGGAGAAAGAGACATAGTTGCTCTTCGATAATGTCGGTCTGTTGTTGATGATGTTGTTGTTTTTGTTGTTTTTGTTGCTCCTGATGTTGCTTTTGTTGTAGCTTCGGCGTCTGTCTCAGGATTTCTAAATTTGTTTCGCATCTTTTCATTTTGCCAATCTTTGAAACGTGGAAAAAGAACAAAAATAAGATTAGAAAGGATTAGGATCACCACATGCATTGGAGATATAACAAATGAAATATACCTAACGGAACGTGAAAAATTGTAACGGAAAAGATCGATTAAAATTTTAATTTTTTTATATTTATTGTTTAATAAAATAATATTATTAAATCAATAAATTAATGAACGAAATAAAAAAATCTTAAATCTCTTTTTTTTTAATCCAAGATTATTCGGATATTTTGTCAGTCTTTTTCTCAAAAGACGTAAGTAAAGCTTAAGCTTTATATAATTTATTGATCAACACTGCAAATAGTAATAAATAATTTGGTAATAATAACACATAGAGTATATAAAAGCGTGATCGACATAACTATTAAATATAAAACTATTTATTATAATAAAAGATGAAAAAAGTATACTTTATTAAATTAGTACTAAATTAGTATTACAATGTTTTTTTATTAGTTAAATTTAGTCGCCATTATTGTCAATAACTGCCTGGTATTTTGAAAGCTTTCTATTAATAATGAGTTAATATTATTAAGATAAAAATCTCTATTTGAACTAAATCTGTCGAATCTATTTCTACTTTGGTTTCTCAGAATTTTCCGTTTTTCTAATATTTGTCGACAAAAATTATACCATTCTCACTTTTTGTTAGATAAACTATGCACGCATAACCACGATAAATAAAAACGATTTTTAAATTTTTAAGATTATTCAGAGTACGTATAATGAACAAAATGACTGTAAGGATGATTTTTTGATCATTCTGATTCATAGTTGTCGTATTATAGAAATTACAAAGGACTACAGGATTACAGAATAGATCATAAGATAACGAATAATAATGGTTATTATTATAACAATGTAACGGCATTACAACAAAATTTTTAGAATTTAGATTGCATTTACAGAAACAATAAATCACTAATTGCAAGCGCAATTATGAATAATATTTTAATTTATGCATGTTGGAAGCACGTTATTTCTCATTACAATGTAAATTATTTCTCATTACAATGTAATTTTTCATAAATCTTGGTAAAATATTGCAAATTTAAAAATACGAGTAATTTTGATTTAATTAATTGTAGCGAACTGTATCGAATGAAATAGAAAAGGCTTAAGATAAATGTTCCAATGGTTGGACGTTAAGCGTAAGTTGTCAACAAACAATATAATTCATGATATTTTTTAAGAAGATTTTTTTATTATACCTATTGTGTCCATTTGTAATGATTAAAATGAATAATAAATATTATTTTTCAATGTGGTCGGATATACTTGAATGACCATGTCCGGCCATTATAGGCCATTATTAGAACATTTACTTTAGCTGTCGTCGCATTCTAAAGAGAGTTTAAAAAATAACATTTACCTACCATAATTCTATGGTAAAAATCTTACTCTACAGGTATAATTTTCGACAGTTTTTTGTAAATTTTCATCACTTACGCAGATTTCATCACTTGCTTTCCAAGACCTTTTTTTAGATAATATTGAAGTATGTAACGAATAAAAACAATTTAATTTTTGAAGTCTCAAATAATCATAATCAAATGTGACTTTATTATTAAAAAATAATTGTTCATAAAAAATTACTACTTTATTACTTTATATACCGAACAATATGTAATTAATAGTACATAATTTTTAACTTATAAATAATTAAATCTAAAATCCCAAAAAAAATTCTAAATAAGAAGATATAAAAATAACAATAAAACATTAATATAATATTAACATATGAAACAAAAGTTTGGAAAATATTAAATTAAATGTTTTTAAATTTAAAAAAAATTGTATTTTTGTTTGATTTATTCAAAATTTACACATTGTATTAATTTTATTCGATTTATCTTTCTCCAATTGTGAAAATATAAATCTAAATGTAAATTATAGTTTAAACATAAATTGTTAATACTTTAAAAAGTTATAAAAAAATAGCAGCGAACTTTGGAATAATGCCTCTTTATTTCATATTTTCATTGATATAAATTTTTTACAAATTATTTTCGCTTTCTCTTTTACGAGAATTTCTTAAGCAAAATAAAAAACGATTTATGTGTTTCCCTTCCGATGAGAAACGATTCACACTTTATTTTAGGGTTGCATTATTTAACTAGAGCAGAAAATCTAAAGGATTTTACTTTTAAAAACGGCATCCTACTGATTTTACATTTAACCTAGGTCCGGCACACATACTTGTGACTGTGATCATAAATTAAACTTGACATTCTCTTTGAAATTGTTTCCCTTTCTACGCGAAAAAAATTAGAACTGCTACACTTTTTCTTAAGGAAAGTGTGCAAAAACTGAGCGATTTTATATGGATAACGGCAACACAATTGAACACAAAAGTAACGTTTTAATGTGAAAAAAAAGCGTAATTATATATTTTGGAAGGTTTTTTTCATTAGAATTTGAATTCTATAATGCCATAGTAAGGAATGTGAGCACATGCAAAATAGGAATAAGATTCATTTTTTTATATTGATTTTTGCAGAGTATTGTTTTTTAATTAATATTTATCATAATTATTGCTCAAATGTAAATATAAGTTATATAATAACAATTTTCACAATTCTTACAACAATGACCCAGATTGTATAAAAAAGTTTATATTTTAATTCTATAATAAAAAATATCTCATTTATTTGATAAATATTATTTGTTAAAAAATGCGTTTTTAATTGTGTAGAAAACAAAAAGAAGAAGTACTCTCTTCTTTGAGAGTACATTTTCTTGGAGAGCAAGTGCAATTGCTTCGAATTTAAGACCAATAACTTAAGGCCAATACGCAAGTGAATATTTTTCTCGATACATTTAACAATAACCGTTTTCCTGCTTTGAAATTCCGAAATCCGAACAAATAGCATTATTCTCTAAAGGTCAAAACGACGTTGGTATTTCGAAATTCCGAGCGAGACGTATGTCAAGATCATAATAATAAATAGAAAACGGCAAAGCAACGATGAATATAACACTCGAAATTTCAATCGACAAACAATACAGAATAGAATAGAGATAACGTGACAGAGCGCGGTGAAGAAAAATTGCTGATAAGTCAAATATTAAAATGTATTGTAATGTGACTGAAAAATGGTTAAATTAATGATAATAAATAAAATGTACCTCAGTGCAATCAAATAATCTTATTAATATAAAAATAAAAAAGAAAACAGCTTCATAAGTTGCTAAAAAATTCTAAAAAAATAAGTTATATTTATTTTTTACAATAGCTTGGTATATTAATTTGAGAAGAAGATAAAAGGATACAAACAGTACGTTGTATCTTTTGAATATCAATCTGTAGATATAAATAAGATCAATATATTATAATAACACATTTTTTCTGAATAATAAAAATTTTTTATATATTTTTTGCATAAAAAATATCTACCGCGCTATAAAGAAATTTATCACACTATTATTCATTCTTGTGTAAGTAAAAAAATAAAATAAATAAGTAAAAAATAAGAAATAAGAGAAAAAAGAGACTTATATCGTGACCAAGTTTTCTCTCAAATGCTAATTAAATAGAAACTAATTTCTGATTAACTGTGAAGGAATTTTAACTCTACTTTTTCTCTCTATGAAAAAAATTGAATCTATAAAAAATTTAATCTACAAAGAATTTTATCTGTAAAGAATTTAGATTTCTCTCTATAAAGAATTTAATCAAAATAGAATAATATTGCAGTTGTACCTTGTTTTATTGTACGTGTCAAATTCGTCGTTCTGAAGATGCTTTAGAATGCCATTTATTCCTCAGCTCGTCTCCAAATGAAGATTTAATACTGATATATTTCACTATACACTTTTAATAAATATTCTTACTTTTTATAATGCCTTAAAACCATGATAAATCATACTATATAATGTTATCAACATATTCTGAAGACACAAGTTATCGATCCATTTCAAAGATTTTCCTTTACTTAAATGTTACGTTTTTTTTTATTAATTTAACGTCCATAACAAGACGAAATAGTATCTCAATAGATCTGAAATTATAATTTCTTAAAAATTCAAAAAATCGATTGGATAAATGTTAGATTAACTTAGCGACGTAGATTAATAGTTCGCATTAATACGAACATCAAATTATTGCGATCAGAAATTTGACAATCCAAACTGAGAACTTAGACAATCCGAATCAAGTTTGCTTTCCAGAAGCAAAATCTCAGCATATATCAAAATACATGAAAAGACTCGGAAAAGATCTCAACCGAACGGTACCGAATCGAACCGAAACAACACTACTTGTAAGTCCCAGCGTTAGGTTGTCTTGTCCTAAAGTTACCCTCTCTTCCGGATCCATCTGTCCAATAGAAGCAAGACCGTACAATTTAACAAGCAAATCCCCTCCTCCGGTTCCACCCTCGCTTCCTATAATACGTAGAATTTCTTTCAACAAAAGAAATTTCTGTGGCTTAAGGGTTATGAATTCACTGTTATAACGCTAGTTTTTCCCATAAACTATAGAACGGTATTTTACCGTACGATTTTTTGTTTCAAATTAAGAAATTAGAAAGTTTGCCTTATTAATCAAAATTGCAGTTTGGTGGCAAGTAAAATAATTAAATGATAAATATTAACGAATGATTTACTATTTAAAATATTTTTAAATATTATTTAATAAATATAAATTACCTTTTTATTTTAAGAAATACCAAATTATGTTTTAACAAATATTAAAATTGTTATATAAAAGTTATGCGTTTCGCGGGTTTCCTCCGTGTCCAGATTCATTTCTGATGAAGTCGGCTACAAGGGTCACGAAATGGCATTTCAAGAATGAACTGAACATAGAAAGCACCTGTGGAAGCTTCAAGAATATTATTAAAATTATTATGTAATTGCAATTAAGATACATGTTTTTTGTCTAACATTAATTTACTTATAAAATTATATATAATTATATATAATTTTCAATAAAATTTGTACAATTACAATAATGTTTTCATATGAAATTTCAAGTTTTTCAAAAAATCTATTATTAAAATTAAAGCTCTAAATTTTTGAAACACTCTGCAAAGATAAAAAGTGTTTTAGCGGTAGAAATGTAATAATCAAAATTAAATATTTGACTGCATGTAGTGTGCGACATGCTGATTGCATTATTTTGAGTAAGAAAATTTCGAAGACACAAAATCCTTAGATTGCTTACAGCGGACGCATGGCGAATACAGTCAAATGTGACCTCAGACTGATATTATTTTAAAACGTTTGAAAAGTAGTTTTTTTTATTATAATACGTTGTAAATTATTTCAAATATGTAGAAGGTGAAATAAAAACATATTTATCATAGAATCAAATATCCATTTATTAACTTTTTTTATAGTTGAAAAAAGCAAACAATTCTAACTCACGCGTCTCGCAAGATCCTGCGTTCGCCGACGGAAGATTAATTTATAATCAACAGACATATTGAAAATTAAAGCAGTAATTTTGTATCAACAAACAAATTTTATAATTCACTTTCAATTAATTTAAATCAATTTCGAAAGAATATAAAATCCACAGTTTATGTTTCGCGCTATTATTCAAAGATTCTTTTTTTGGCAAACGCAATCTGTTTTCTTTCTAATGTAGACAGCTTGCATCCTTTCCCTAATACTGAAAAGTAGGCAGAAACTACTATTAAAACGTGATATTTTAAAACAGAAGCTTTTTCTAAAATGGGAGTACAATCCACATAAGCAATATGCGCGCGTTGTATAAATAAAATAAATAAAAAAGTAAATTATAAATAAAGAAATTATAAATAAATAAAAAAGTAAGTAATTGACAAATAATGGCATACACGAAATGTAAAACGTATATAAAAAAAAATATCTTTTAGCTAAATAATTTGTTTTCTGTCATTATGCATATAACTTTTTATATTCTCATTTAAATGCAAATTACTATCTTCCAGTAAGCCATAATATGAATTCTAATAAATTCTGATATTAAAATGCGTGAAATTTTTTTTTTCAAAATATCTTTGTTATTTTGAATCATATTTTGTGGAAAAAAAAACTATTCAACAAAGGCCTAAATTTTTATCCTTTTTTTGGTTAAATAGCCAAGAAAAAAGATGACAATTATCAATTGCATTAAATTATTTCTATTAGTTATGTTTTTGCTCAATGCATTATCTGATAAACGCATTTTAAAATAAATTTACATGAATATTCGAACTGGTTGCTTCTTATGGCAGTTTGAATCAAAGAAAATGTTGGCTGCATTTTTTATTCATTCCTTTTTTTATCTGACACACTAAAGGTAAACATCATAATTCTAACTGTCCACTCTTTTTTTTTATAAAAACTAAACAAAAAACGTGTCATATAAAAATCTTTTGTTACAAATACAACGGCGACAGACTGGTGCTTTATAAACTCCATTTTACTTGACATTCATGTACCCGAGAAAAAATGTTATATACATATGGACATATTTTATACATAATTGTATAATTGTAATGTATAATTGTATAATTGTACATAATGTATAATTGTATATAAAATACATTAATTTTTTTATATAATTATATATATAACATTTTTTCCGGGTAGTTTAAAATTATGTTTCATTTCATTTGTACTATTACATTTGTTGCTCCATTATTATCTCAGTTTATCGAAAGTAAACATTTATACAAGAAAAAATTAACTAAAGAAATTGTTTAAAAATACTGAAGAACACTTTTACTGCAATTAATAAAATTTAAAAAAAAGAGTCCGCAAATTTTTTATACGCGATTCGATACATTAATAATTCTCAATTTCTTCAGTACTATTTATATATTTTTAATATTTTGTACTTTTTTTTATAACTTCACACTTTCTATTTATAATTATTAAAGAGCAATGTTATTGCATGTTGAATTACGTATTGATTTTAAAGAAATAAGTTCGATAAAAATAATATTTCACACATTTCAATAAATTTAACTTTCTGAAATAAGATGCATTGTTTAATTAAAAAATTTGACATTAGCTTCGATTTATAAATTTATAATTTTTTTTACATTAAAAGATGCATGCACATAAAAACAGCGCGATGTCTAATCATGATATACTTCAGATTATTTATATTGTTTTTAGAACAACAATCACTTATTTTAAATGAGATTAATTATTTTTTAAGATAAGAATAAAAATACAACTATTATCATTATTGTTAAATAATTAGGAAGCAGTAAATAAGTGAGTACTATATTTATGATAATATGGGAACAATTGTTTTTACGCTATTATTATTAACCTGAATAGAAAGTATAATAGAAGTAGAAAGGATTTTGAATTTTTAGGTCACACATTGTTATGCATTATCTTTTTTCTTGACTCTTTTTTGGACGCAGAATGCAAAATAATAAGGTCGGCAATAGAACACTTTTCTTTTTTTCGTAACTCTCTAAATAAATCTTTGCCATAAATTTCTTGCAAATTTGAATGTGACCGTCATCAAACTCTTTTGTAGAAAATTGGCAAACTGGAATACTTAACAAAATTTACGAGTGACATTTTTTGTGACATAAATCTTCTTTAATTAATGAGGTATATTCAGAATATTTTAAAAGTTTAAGATGAATTTTTAAGAGTTTAAAATGAAAAATCAGATAATTCAGTTTTCTGATGGTAGTTTCGAATATATATATATATAATTCAAGACATATTTTCTCGAAATTTTGTTGAAGTCAAATTTTTATAATGCTTAGACGGACTGTGAGTTATTTTTTGTAAAACGTATATATTATAATTTCTTAAAACCCTTATAATTTATAATAATGTATTAACACATCCTTTTCTTACATTAATCAAATTTTTAATAACCTTATATATACTTTTATTGTATCATAACTTCTATTTAAAAAAGAAACGATTGATTTCGCTAAATGTAGAAATAATGTTTTACACAGTATGATAAAATAGTACAAATTGTCCTTATTGTTACACTTTTTGTAGAACAGAGAGGAAAATGATAAATTATATTAGCAAAAAATAAAAGGGAAATGGTTTTCTGCAAAAGTGAAATCTCTCTGTGTCGGCAGAGATACCTGAAAAGATGCAGCTGCAACTCCACCCTTTTTTCAGATACACTCCACCCTTTTTACATATACACGTCAAATCGTGTCTAAAAATCTTTTAGTCGTAGAATCCCTGGATATACAAGTTTCTGTTGTACAAAACAAAATCGTTTAAATAAGATAATTAAAAGAAAAGTAAAATGTTTGAAAGTGGCTGAACAATTACAAAATATAAATAATAAAGAGATAAATTTCCTGAAACTTATCTCCCACTCATTTGAAGTTCCTCTCTACCCTGGCTTAGTCCATCACTCACTCTTAGCATTTCTCCTTTCACCTGTCCTTTCCTTTCTTCTCCTAATATAAATACTCTAGCTTATGACCGGTTCCGACGGCTCTTCATTATTGTCAAAAGTAAATTTTAATATCGTACTAAAGATTTTTTTATACATTCTAGTTTGTACTAGTGAGTTTTGTGCCAAGATACGTGGTAAATTTTGATACATCACAATTTCAAATTAATTTGTTATAGTATTGATAATGTTGAAAATAAAGGAAAGATTTTTCTTAATAGAACTTGGAAATTCCGTATCTTTACACGAAGTTTCTCATCGCTTCTTAAGAAAAAATAGAAATTGCAACAGATTATTTTATCAAAAGATTGTAACATTTTTTTTTAACTCTCCTGATTTCTATTCATGTTGTTATCTCATACCATAAGCGAGAAGAAATTATTTTAACATTTAAATTGCGATCATTGTGGCTGTAATTGTATGTACCTTTTGCTTATTAATTCTC